TTTTTTTTTTTTTACTGGCTATATATATTTTTTTTAATTGGCTATATATATATATAGAGAGAGAGAGAGAGAGCCAATTAAACAATTCATCAAATCTCTACAGGGAGAATGACTTTGTAAACTTTGAAGGAACAGAAGATTAGATTGAGTCATTTATTAAATATAAATGAACATGATTTGTCTTATTAAAATAAAAAGGTAAAAAAATGGGAAAAAAGCCATATTAAACTGTAAAATGAAATTAATTCAAGTTATTAGCAAAAAAGAGACAAGTAATTGGACAAAGTATAATAAACATGCAATTCAGATGAAGAAATACACTAACATGGAAAATACACACCACTTTCTACATGAAATAAAACAAGAGACACATAAAAGTAACTTGGTGATACCATTTTACATCTGCTAAATCAGCAAAATCAACAACACAAGAGGTTATAGAGTACATTCATGCAATGTCAGTGACATTGTCAAGTAACACGCCTTTGGAAAGCAAAATGGAAAACATACCAAAAGATTAAAAAGTCTGTGCCTAAAACTCAGCAGCAGTATTCCTAAAAATTTACCCGAAGATATTATTTCAACAGAAAAGATTATATTCAGAAAGATGCTTATTTTAGCATATGCAAAGTGGTAAAGAAAATGGAAAGAAACTAGTGATCAACCATGAGAATATGGCTAAGACTGCACTCAATATGGCTAAAGTGACCTTTAATATTCACTCAATATAACATTATGTGGCTATTAAAAGTTGTTAAATAGAAATATAAAATATCTCCAAAATGGTGAAATGTGGAACACAAATCTACACATGCACTGCAGTTATATCATTGCAAAGTATTTGTGCATAAGGAAGAAGTAAAAAGGGAGGCAAATACTGAAAAGAAATTGCTGTGGTAATAAAATGAAGGGTAACTTTTAAAACATACTTTTAAAAATATTAAACTGCTTTTCCACAAATATTTTTATGGAATTGGAGTGGGAGAAATGCCTGTGGAAGATAATTAAGAACTGACTAACTCTAAACAAAATGGGTATAGAGGGGATGTATGTTAACATAATAAAGGCCATACACGGCAAGTCCACAGCTAACATCATACGCAACAGTGGGAAGCTGAAAGTTTTTCCTCTAAGCTCAGGAACAAGACAAGGGTGTCCATTCTTACCACTTTAATTCAACATAGTATTGGAAGTCCTAGCTAGAGCAATTAGGCAATAAAAAGAAATAAAAGGCAGTCAATTCAGAAAGGAAAAAGCAAAACTGCCAGTATTTGTAATGACTTGATATTACACATACAAAATCCTAGACACAACCAAAACACTGTTAGAATTAACGAATTCAACAAACCTTCAGTATACAAAATCAATAAGTAAAAATTTGTTGTGCTTCTATTCTATACACTAATAAACTATTCGAAAAAGAAATTCAGAAAACAATCCCTTTTATAATTGCATCCAAAAGACTCTAGAATAAATTTAACCAAAGAAGTGAGAGACCTGTACACTGAAAACTATGATGAAAGGAACTGAAAAACAGAAATAAGTGGAAAGATATTCTGTGCTCATGGATCAAGAGAATTAGTATTGTTAAAATGTCCATAGTACCCAAAGGAATCTACAGATTCAGTGCAATCTCTATAAAAATTCCAATGGCAGTTTTCACAGAAGTAGAATGAACAATCCTAAAAATTGTATGGAACCACAAAAGACCCCCCAATAGCCAAATCAATCTTGAGAAAAAAAGAACATACTCTCTGATTTCAAACTGTATTACAAAGCTATAATAATCAAAACAGTATGGTATCGGCATAAAAACAAACCTTAATGGAACAGAATACAGCCCCCACATATATGGTTAAATTAAGTTACAACCAAAAAAAAGCCAAGAATATAATGGGGAAAGAACAGTCCCTTCAATAAATGGTGCTGGGAAAACTAGACAACCACATGCAAAAAAAATGAAAATGAACCACTATCTTTCACCATAGATAAAAACTAACCCTAAATGAGTTAAAGACCTGAACATAAGACTTGAAACCATAAACCTCCTAGAAGAAAACACAATGTTACCTCCTTGACATTAGTCTTAGTGATGATATTTTTGTCTTTGATACCAAAATAAAAAATAAACAAGCAGGACTACATCAAACTAAAAAGCTTCTGCACAGCAAAGTAAACCATCAACAAAATGAAAATGTAATCTACAGAATAGGAGAAAATACTGGCAAATCATATACCTGACAAGGAGCTAGTATCCAACAGCAAAAAAAAAAAAAAAACAATTAAAAAATGGGTAGATGAACTGAAAAGACATTTAGCCAAGGAAGACATACAGGTACATGTCCAACAGATACATGAAAAGGTGCTCAACATCACTCTCATCAGGGAAATAAAAAAACCACAATGAGGCATCACCTCACACCTGTTAGAATAGCTGATCAAAAAGATAAGAGATCAAAAAGATAAGAGTGTTAGTAAGGACGTGGAGAAAAGAGAACCTCTGTGCACTACTGATGAGAATGTAAATTGGTACAGCAGCTATGGAAAAACAGTATGATGTTTCCTCAAAAAATTAAAAATAGAACTGCCTCATGACACAGCAATTCCACTTCTGGGTATTTATCTGAAGAAAACAAAAATACTAACTAAAAAAAATATACACACCCCCATCTTCAGTGCAGCATTATTTACAATAGCAAAGGCATAGAAGCAACTTAAGTGTCCACCAATGGATGAATGGAAATGTGATGTGTATATATACATGGGATATTATTCAGTCATAAAAAGAAGGAAATCTTGTTCATCTGCAACAACATGGATGGACCTTGAGTGTTCTTATGCTAAGTAAAATAAATCATGTAGACAAATACTTTCTCACTTATGTGGAATCTTTAAAAGAAACAAAAAACAACAACAAAAACTGAGGTTATAGATACAGAGAACAGATTGGTGGTTGCCAGAGGCAGGGGACAGAGGGTGGGCGAAATGGATGAAGGGGCCAAACTGTACAAACTTCCAGTTATAAATGCATGAGATGTAATGTGCAGAATGGGGACTACAGTTAGTAACACTGTACATTTTAAAGCTGCTAAGAGAATAAATCTTAAAAGTTCTCATCACAAGAAAAAAAATTTTTATAACTATATACAGCCACAGATGTTAACTAGACTTATTGTGATCATTTCACAGTATATACAAATATTGAATCATATTGTACACACCTGAAACCAATGTAAATGTTGTACATCAATTATATCTCAATTTAAAAAAGAATTGACTGTAATTATAATTTTTTAACTGTCTGCTTACCATATGCTTCTTCAATGAGAGCACAGTATGGATTAATACCCATCCCATTCTGCTTAGATTCTTGTTCTCCAAGACGCAAAATATTTTCAAGTCCATTTAAAGCCACCTGGACTATTTTAGAGTCCATAACAGTCAATAGGTCACAAAGTGGTTTAATGCAGCCTAAGGCTACCAAATACCTTCAGAGTAATTAAAAAAAAAAAAAAAAAAGATGGGGAGAAATGACATTGAAAAAAGACTTAAATATTGTTTATGGCAACATGAAAATATTCTTCAGTGAAATGTTATGTAAACAATTAAGAAAAGTATTTCTATTAACTCAAACATTAAAAACAATTAAATATTCACTTACATAGAAACCTGAAAACATTTTTACTGCCCTGTTCTCATAATTAACGATAGTATTACAAATATTATAATATACATGCAAGACAAGCAAGCAAACTGATATTTGGGCCTATTTTTGCACGGCATATCAACACTAAGTGAGTTAGAGGGTTTTTTGTTTTGGTTTGGGTTTTTTAAGGGTGGGCCTATGTACACACATAGCAGTCATATGGGAGGTAGGTAGAAATGGAGAGGGAGGAGGGACATCTAAATAAAACCAGGAAATTTCCCACAAAAATAATCATAGCTCATGTTCTGAAACATCTGTTTTGTTTCAGAAAGCAGAGAAGGCTTCTAGGAGCAAAATGGGCCATGTGAATAATTTTAATAAATAATGTTCACAAAAATTAATCATTTTTATAATGCTTTGTTCTTTTCTAGTTCTTTTCAGCTCTTTTTCCATTCTCTATACCATAAAGTAATTGATTTGTTCACTTGGCAAAAAGTACATATTAAGCTTAAAGGTAAAAACAAACAAATATGCTCTGAAGTCAGACTGCATGGCTTCAAATCCCAATTTCACTCCTTATGTGTGACTTTGACTAACTGCTCTGTGCCTCAGTTTCCCCATCTTAAAATGGGGATAACAATAGTACCAAACTCAGAGGGTGCTGTGAGAATACAGTAGGCATTCAAAAAAAGTTTCCATTCTTTTTTTTTTATGTACATACCTTTACTGGAGTACTCACTTGCCATATACTATATTGTAACTCATCAAATATATTTGTTGAATGAGTAACTATCTCATAGAGTTATGAAGTTAAAGGAGATAAAAGATGTGAAAGCACCTGATGCACTACTGGTGCTCAATAACTGAAATGATTCAACACAACTGGCAGCATTAGACACACCACAGTATTAGCGGTATGCAGGCTAAACCTAATCTGAGATTAAGAGACCTCTTCCCATATATGGGCAGAATTAATGAAATGGTGAAATGGTTAGAAAAATAATAATCTGAGTTTAGATACTTGATTCACACTAATAAATTTAAGGAACAATATCTTGAATAGACATAATGATAGAAATAAATTTTTAAAAATACAACTGTTTATAGGTGAACCAAACAAACTTTGGGTCCCAAAGCAGATAAAAATAAATTAGCATTAAAAAAAAAAAAATACAAGCCAGAACAAAGGAAAGATCTTGTTTATTACTGCTTGTATTCATGACACAAATGAAATGGAAATATTGATTTAAAGCAAAGAGGTGGAATGGAAAATAAAAAGCAGAGAAGGATGTCATTAACATATAGAGATATGAATCCAAGAGAGCGGGAAAATGGTACAAATGAAGGCAATAATAAACTGATCTCACAATAGGTAGATTTCAAAATCCTGTGATTTGTAAAATAGCATAGTAGCCTGACTTCTTTTATAAATTAACAAACAAATATTCATTAGAAAATACTTCCTAAAGAGTCACTTCACAAACTTAAAAAGTCCTGAGTTTCTTGGAGGGATCCTCAGAACAAGAAGATTCTGTAGGAAGTCAGGCTTTCACAGAAGTGCAAAGTGGAACTTTGCTATGTGGGGGGAAAAAGAGTAAAAGCACAAGATGAAAAGAGACTTAGAAACCAATATTGATAATAAAAATTATGATTATTACAAATAATAGTAGCAGCTAATCTTAGTATAGAACTTGTTTAGGCACCATGCTAAGCACTTTAAACGTATGGACTGCATTTAACTGTCAAGATACTATATAAGGTACTCCCCATTATGAATCCATTTAAAAAATGAAGAAACTGTGGATTAGAGGTTAAATGATTTTATCAAGGTCACAACTTTTACTGAAGGAGCAGGATTTGGAGGCAGGCTGATTTCAAAGCCCATGTACCTACTAATTGTGTTGTTAGTAAAAGAAACAAGCAAATAAACAATAAAAGGGCTGGATTCATAAAGCTATCATAAAAACAAAAACTACTAAAGAAAAATGAAAGTAAGATCTTATCCACAGATAAGGCTAACAGTGATTAGAAAAGTAGTATTATATAAACAAATGTCTATTTCAATTATATTTTAAATAAGTAGATATTTAAACTTATTGGCCATTTCTACATAATAAAGTTGCATGTATATGATTTTAGTGATCTAAGATATGTTTAATGCCCATGTCAGTATATTTTGCAAATTAACATAAACTATTCTTTTTCAGATTTTTAAATTCTGACTTTTCATAGTCTGCCAAGGAGAATGATGTTAAATATACTTTATATGAAAAAAATAAACCACTGTAAATGAATAGTATAACTGATATAACAGTGACTTCACATTAGAAATGCTTATTAAATGGATAGAAATGTTTTAGTTTTATAAACAAATAAAAAGTATGTATTATTTTAAATTTGTAAAAGTCTCATTTACATTTTAAAAACAATTTTTAAAAATCTGTATCACACCTTATTTGTTCTGGAGTGCCACCTGATGTTGCATTAGTTATAGCCCAAGCTGCTTCTTTTCTGGTGCGAAACTCTGCTTTCTGAAGAATCTCAATCAAAACAGGAAAAATATTTGCATCTATAACAGACTGAGGAGAAAAAACTGATATAGCAAAATCAATGCAAATACAGTTTACATATATTAGTAAGGAGTGGAATCTTTAAACTCAATGGCTTTAAAATGCTAAGGCTTTTGGAAATATTTTATTTCTAATCTTTTAATAATAGTTCGCATACTTTCCTTTTAAGACTGGAAAATATATTAGCAGAATTTAAATTTTAAAGATGATAAAACACAAGGCAGACAATTGACCAGGGAATTACTGACTCAGGGAGTTTGATAGGGACCTAATAAATCATTATTTACTAGTTTTGAGAGAAAGATCATTGCCTAACTTTTTTAAAACTAACAAAAATCAATCCCTTTTTAAAGACTAACCATTATGTGTCAGGCACTGCGATGGACAATTTTATAAATATACACGCATATAAATGTATATATATGTATATATATGTATATATATAATTGCTATTCCTCATTAGAATAAGTAATTATTTTAGAGGAGGAAAGGCTATGTTCTTTAAAATACTTTTAAAATACTTTTCAAGAATCTTTTAAGAATCTTTTTCAGTGACTCACTAAAAAACATCACTGATAAAATGCTGACTTTTTTCCAAACTAACTCCTGAGATCTTCCTGTTTTCTTAGATCTGAAAGGTATTTACCTGAATCTGAGCTCTATTTCCAGCAGTAATGTTAGAAACAGTCCAGCAGGCTTCTTTTCTGATTGACTCCTTTGGGCTACTCAGTAAGTGTAACAGACAGGGTAATGCAGAGCAATTCAGAATTACCTAAAAATAAAAGTTAGAAATGGAAACAGAGTTTTATAGCAAAAAACCCCAAAAAAACTAAACAAAAATAAACTAATGAACTATTTAGACATACAAAAATCATTCTGAAAAATTAAGAAAAAGAAATTCCTCTCAAAGTAAAACTTAAGGCACTTGCTTGCTGTCTTCCACCCTCCCATTTGCCAAAACCTTTCTAATGTTGGTACAGTGAAGTGCCCTGTTCTCAATGTACTAAAATGCAAAGAAGGACACTCAAAGGTGTATCCTTCAAGATTACAAATGCACTCAGAGTTCAACTGAAATAACTATTTGAAGACAGGGTTAGTGACTGGTCAGGACCCATTCTCTATTTTGCCAAATGAATTGATAAAAAAGCAACCACCCCATCTATATCAAACAGTTTGAAAGTATCTAATTCCATAACTGTTAAGAAACCTTAATATATAAAACTAAGTCTATTAGTTTCATTAAAAATTTTACTGTTCCACCCTGGCCAGTGTGGCTCAGTTGGTTGGAGTGATGACCTATATACTGAAAGGTTGCGGGTTTGTTCCCCAGTAGGGACATGTACGGAAGGCAACCAGTCAATGTTCTGTCATATCCATGGTGGGTTTTTTCTCTCCCTTCTCCTCTCTCTAAAATCAATAAGCATATCCTTGGGTGAAGATTTTTTTAAAAATTTTACTGTTCCACTTTTTTTCATAAAGAAGTATATTATGCTTAATTCTTTTACATTCTTTATTATATGGCAAGATTATGTTCCTATTTTCAAAATACCCACAATGATTTACATTAAATTTACTTGAAGAACGTATGAAGCCGAATACCGAAATTCTGTAGAAAATCATGTATGTTTAGAAGAGACGTTTTCATTTAAAGAGCTATTTTATATTTTAAGTATGTTTTTATTGATTTCAGAGAGAGTAAGGGACAGGGAGAGGGAGACAGAAACGTCTAAGATGACAGTCATCGATTGGCTGCCTCCTGCACATCCCCCACTGGGGATTGAGCCCACAACCGGAGCATGTGCCCCGACCGGGAATCGAACCAAGATCTCCCGGATCATAGGTCAACACTCAATAACTGAGCCACGGCAGCCGGGCTAAAAAGCTGTTTTAAATTAATAACTATCAATTACTAAGGATCAACTGTTTAATAATTAAGGTAAGTATCTAAATAGAACTTTTAAAGATTAAAAATGAAACAAAATATTTAGATTAGAATATAAAGCTTACTATATGGTGTTAAACAAAAAATCCAGTGTGTTACAGAGCTTAAGTTTCTAGAAAAACTCTCTCAGATCTGACATCAATCCAGATGTCACATCTTTTTTGATATCTCACACACATAGCTAATTACCAATTTAGGAAGTGTTTCCTTGATATCTTTCCTTTCATTCTTATAATCTAGGCCTTCATACTATAAAAGGCCCTTCCATTTCTAACCCCACTTCTAACCTATTTATAATCAATCATCTTCTTACTAACAGTTTCTTTTCTAGTCAAGTTTAATGCCTCTTAAACATACCTCCTACATGTCTGGCACATGAATTTCTTCTAGTCTACTTGAGTTCTTTACTTTTAAGATCTAGCTTCAGTTCCTATTCCTTAATGGACTCTATGATGATTTCTTAGCACACTAATTTCTTTTTTATTTTTATAGCATTTACTGGCCAATCAGCTCCCAAAAAACATATACTATCTACGGTGATTTGCGTGTGTGTGTGTGTATTTCTTCACACTGATACAGGTCTAGGATAGTGCTTTCACATAGATGTACGTGAGTCTGGTCACTTATTACCAAGAATATACTTACATTATAGGTGCTTATATAATTATGTTAATGCTAAAGTCTTGATTAACATGTAAGCAAGTGTATAAACATGATAAACTTCTTAAAGCCCTTTATGTTAACTCATATCAGAAAGTCTGAACTCACCTGTGTTTGAATATCATCACCAGTCACAATATTACCAACTGCCCTTAATGCAGGTGATACAACTTTATAATCATTGTGCCTAAAATAATAAAAATATTAACTTACATACTACAGAATTTAAAATTTACAGAAAATCTGTAAAAATAGTACCAAAAAAATCCCATATACTCTTTACCCAGAAAGCCCATTCAAGTTTCACTAATTATCCCATAATTATCTCCATAATAAAGAACCTAATCCAGGATCATATGTTGCACCCAGTTGTCATGCCTTTCCATTTTCTTTCAATTCATAACAGGTACTTAGTTTTTCATTGATTTTCATGATCTTGACATTTTTTATGATCAGAGGCCAGTTATTTGGTTTTGTCCAATGTTTCCTCTTGATTAAGACCCAAGTTATTAGCTTGGCTGGAAGCACAAATGCTATAGCCTTTCATTACAATAGTACTGGATAGCATATATGGTATCTGTTTTGTCCATTAGTGGCACTGAACTCTGGTTGCTTAAGATGGTGTCTGTCAGATTTCTCCACTTTAATGTTACTATTTTTCCCTTTATAATTCATATTTTGTGAGGAAATACTTATAGACTATGTAAAATCCCATCCCTTAACCCACTTTCACCAGTAGTTTTAGCATCTCTTGATGTTTAGTGTCTGAATTATTAGTATTGTTGCCAAGGATGATTTTCTAATACTATCATTCCAACTACATGGCTTTTCTGTCTATTGATCTATCTACTTATTTTAGTGTGGACTCCTGGATTCCTAGTTTATTTAATAAGTTCTAACATATTATTATAATGTATTGCAATGATCAAAATCATCCCAGGTTTGAACAGTAGGAGTCCCTTCAAGTGGGCTTCTGTGTCCTTTTAACATTTATCCATTCTGAGCAGTCATTACTTTCTGAATTCATATTATTTTTTATCTGTCAGCCCTCAAATCAGCCATTTCTCCAAGAATCCTGGTTCCTGTTAATGAAGAGCAGTATTTAAAAACCAAGACCTGGGCATTTGGTGTACTCAGCTTATTGGTATAAATGTGTCAGGGCTCCCAGGTTCTTTAAGAGAACATAAATACACACACATTTACATATATATTTGTTTCCTACCTTTCTCTTTAATGCTGAAAGCCATGAGTTCACATTGATACCTCCAACTCTAATTTAATATCACAAGATTTTTCTGGTTTTCTTCTTTCCCATATTTATAAATCCATTCTCCAAGAATAAGAAATTAGCTCCTATTATCCAGCCAGGCTGCTATGCCACAAGGTGCTGGCTCCCACCCCTGCTCCAGCCTGTTTGTCTGCTCCGTCTAGTTGGTGCCATCCTCAAGCATGGGCCCTGATCCCCTCATTAGACCTGCCTGTCTACCCTCCTCAGATGCTCTCCTCATGCTGGGGCCACAAGCCCTTATCAGACCTCTCTTCTTTGTGCCATCTACCCTGTTTGGGCTTACTTAATGGCTTTTTGACTAAAGAAGAAAGGAAGAAAGACAATACATTTTTTAAAGGAAGAGATGGAAAAATTATAACACCTTTTTAAAATAAGTTCTCTTAGAAATTTTTAACTTCCTTGTATTGAAAATCTGTTCTTTTCAAAGAAGGTAGCAATAATAGCTCGGCACAGAGAAACACATTATCTTTAATATAAGTGAAATACTAAATAATTTTCACTACATGATCTTTTACACAGATTAATTATTGTAATGACAATTAACTAAATTACTTATTCTGTGAGAGCAGGAGCTATATCCTATACTTCTTTAGTAGCATCTTGCACAACACTCTTGCAGGTATCAGGTATTCCATACATACTTGTTGAATGAAGTCCCTCTCATTCATTAAGAGCTTAAAGCTAATGAAATTCATTAACAAAATGATTAGTCCCAACTAGAGGATACAAGTTTAAGGGTGAATTTCAGTATTACAGCTATTCTGCAAAGTGGGGTTAGTAGCTTTTCAACTCTTCCTGTATATAGTGATTCTCGAGATGTTTACAAGGCCATTACTCTAACTGCTAAACTCACAATCATATAGTTATTAATTATAAATTATAGTTACATCAAAAGTTCCACCAATCTTCGACAAACTCCAGAATCGATAACTGCTTGAATTTTATCATTGGGTCCATCGGAGAGATAAGAAAGGGCCCAACACACATCTGCTAATACATCTGAGTCACTGCTAAACAACAATCGTGACAGGACATTTAAGCAAGGTGAAACCTGTTAGGGAAGAAAGAGGCAATATTTAAATTTTTTCTCTATCTAAAACTAAGTTTCTTTAGAAAAATATAGAAACTTGTTTTAAAACTAAAATTTCATGCTAAAAAATATCAGAGAAATTAAACATTCTATTGTTTTAAAATTATGATCAGAAATAAAAATTACACTGATTATGACCCATATTAATCTTACAATGACTAAGATATGTGATAATTTAAAGTTTTTTTTAAGTAATGAAATACATATTTGGGATCCTCTGTGTCTAAATCATCACACACACACCCCAAAGTGACAGCAAAACTGAGAGAAGTAAAAATGTTTCTGTTAGTGTTTAATGTAACAATCATCAAATATGGTCCAACTGAAATGAGTTTCTGACTTTACCTATTACATGCATGTCACTGGAAGTAAATCTAATAATCTGTTGAGAAGTAAAGGTGTAAAAAATACAAAAAGAAAACTGAAGGGTTTTTTAATGGAAGTCACTAATAAACTATTCTTCTTAATGTAGTGAAACCCTAAATCTTTAATTAAAACACCATATATGACACTAGAGATGTTTAATCCCTCTAGCATAAATACTACAACAAATTCGTTGTGAGCTGAGCAAGTTACTTCATCTCTCTCAGACTCAAACAAAGAGTCTGAATTAGATAAATCCTATGATCCTTCCTCTCAAATTAGATAGACCTAGGTTCAAACCCTACTCACTAGCTGTGTGACCATGGGCAAGTAACCTAACATCTCTAAACCCCAATTTCTTCATTTAAAAATCAGGATAATATGCTACCATTAAATTAGTAAGAATGCACATAGCATCTTAGAACAATGCCTGGCATATAGTAAGCTCTGAGATGTTGTTTCTTTTATTGCCATACTCAGTAGTGATTTTATATTCCTTAAAGTTGTTTTTAAAAAAATCAGCAACCTAACATCCCTTAGTCTGTCTTCCCAGATAAGAGTTGTATGTTACATGTCACAAATAAAAAGTGGTGACAGCTTTTTTATGTTATAATATTTTAGAGTAAATGTTCTCTCCACCTCTATTTTAAAGACTGCCAATACATACACTATAACCTTCTGAAAACACTCATCTTCCCTGCTGGGCCCTTCCTGCAAAGATGACCCTAGGGCCCAGGAACAGAAATCAGTTCACTTACAAAACAGGTATGTTCATCTGTAAGTTAGGAAACAGAATCTGCACAACTGGATACTACCCCAACAATCCTGCCTTCACCCTTGCCTACCACCTCCTCTTCCTTGAACAGAGAAATGTGAGAATCAGTTCTTAAAAGCAAATATAAAGTTTTAAATTAAAAAACATTAGTGTAACTGATATACCTTCTTACTTATTTAAAAAATGATGAAGTGCTACATATTCCTATTTTAAGAGAGCAAAATAAAAACATTTCTGCCCCATCATCTCATAAACAAGGGAAAGAAGATAAGAGAAATATAGGGAGTTAGTCGGGTAGATATTACGTAATGTTATATGCCAGTGGTTCTCAAAGTGGGGTCCATGGACCCCTAAGGGATTCCTGAAACCTTTGGGGGTCTTTTATGCCAAAATTATTTCCATAATTATACAAACACATAACTGGTCTTTTTCATTTTGTTGGCATTTGCACTAAAGGTACAAAAGCAATGGTGGGTAAAACTATCAGCACCTTAGCACAAATCAAGGCAGTGGTACAAATGCACCACAGATCTTTTTCACCTGTATTTTTCACCTCCACACATGCAGTTAAAAGAGGGAAGGGAAGCCAGCCTCGTTTAAGAATTACCTTGAAGAAGCAGTAAAAATTCCTAATTTTATTAAGTCTTAATACTGAAATATGTCTTTTGAATATACTGTGAGATAAAATGAGAAATCTGCATTTAGAGCACTTCTGTACACCAAAGCATGGTGGTAGTCTCAAGGAAAAGCACTCATTTGAGTTGCAGACTGAATTAGCCATTTTTTCCCATGGGAACATGATTTTTTTACCTTAAAGACTGTTAATCTTTTTTCAGTATTAGGTCTTTGGAGACATATTTTTGAAAATAAAGCCTATAATTTCAAGGAAAAAACTGATAATATTTGTTGCCAGTTGTAAATTTTAAGATTTCAAACAAATTTTAGAATTTTGGAAATCATGTATTCACCGTTAAGTTTGGTAGGTTCCCAACATTGGTGGTGATACTGTGATTTTTTTAAAAAATAGTATATAATGAAATGTCAACGTTTGGAAGTCAACATAATTCAGTGAATCACATATTCCAGATAACCAATTCATGATGTTACAGAGAAAAAGATCCATTCAAACTGCAGGGAAGACCAATGGATTTTAATGTAACAGAGTTCCAAAAGTTCAATAATATGATTTCAGATTCCTTAATGCAATTAGCCTTTAAAATAACCACTTAAATTTTGGTACAGTATCAAAGAAAATTAATCATTATCTGAAAAGACTTCAACTAAAACAACATATCACAACAGATCAAATGAAGGGTTAGAAATAAGAATCAGCTATATGTCTCCAGATATCACAGAGATCTGTAAAAATATAAATTCACACTACTCTTTTCACAAAATTTTTGTTTTGAAAAATGTTTTCCATAAAAAAAGTTACTTGATGTGCAAGGGGTTTGTTATTGTTATTTTTAAATGAATTAGTAAATATTGAAAATTTTTCTGTTTTAATTTCTAATAGTAAATATTGCTACATATAAAACATACAAGTAAAAGCTTTTGGGTTCCCATAATTTTTAAGAGAGAAAAGGGGTCCTGAGATAAATTTTGTTCTAGGTGGAGAAATAGCTAGAGCAAAGGCAAGAGCATGCTTACTGAGTTTAAGGACTAGCAAGCAGGCCAGTTGGCTGGAGTGAAGTGAGAAGGAAAATAGTAGGATATGAATAAGAGAGATAACAGAAAGGCCAGATGATGAAAATTCTTGTATGATGTTTAACAATTTTCTTTTACTATGAATAAAGTACAGGGAGCCATGACAGAGTTCTGAACAGAGATGTGGTATAAACTAACATTTTAACAGGATCATCCTAGCTGCTAGCCTGGGTGTAGAAAATGATGGGTGGGCACAGAGAGAAGCAAGAGGAGGCTACTCCAATAACCAAGGCGATAGAGAGATGGTAGCATGGGCCAGGTGTTATCAAAGGAAGTGATATATTTCCTTCTTCAATATATTATTTTGAAAAATGCTAAACTTACATAAAATTTACCCCAAAAAAGTACAATCAATACCCATATGCTACTCATCTAAATTCATCAGTTAGCCCGGCCGGGCATGGCTCAGCGGTTGAGCATCAACCTAGGATCCAGGCAATCAGGGTTCGATTCCCGGTCAGGGCACATGCCCAGATTGTGGGCTCGATCAATGACTCTCTCATCATTGATGTTTCTATCTCTCTCTCTCCCCCTCCTTTCCTCTCTCTGAAATCAATAAAGATATGTTTAAAAAAATAAAAAATAGATTCATCAGTTAACATTTTGCTACATTTGCCCTCTCCCCACCTTCATTTATACATAAAATATATATTTTTAAATTTTACTGGTCTATTTAGGAAACAATTGCAGATATTATCATGATACTTTACCCCTAAAATACTTTAGCATATTTCTCCATTAAAAATGGCATTCTTCTACAGTCTTCTACCACAGTATAATTACCACATTGAGGGAATTCTATATTGGTGCAATAAAGGTAATAACTTTAAAAAGAAAGCTTACAGAAATGTGGTTTAGACGACAGGTTTTACAGATTATCAATTTTATAAATTTCGGTACCTTTCAAAATGCAAATTCTTCAGGAAAAATGTAAACTTCAAAGGTATTACTCAAATGAAAAAACTTTTTTTAAATGAGTTACTCATAAAAGGTGCTTGTTATTACAAAATTTTTAAAAATCTCTACTGCTTGCCTATGGTTGAAGAGCTTTGAAAACCCATGTAATAGAATTAGAACAAAAAGATCTCAAAATGTAAATACTGCATTTAAAAAAAATCCAATACTGTTACTAAACAGAAAAAAAAATCAAACATGGCACTGTAAACTAATTATATCTTTACAACTAGTATCATATAATTATTAACTCAACATACACACATATGGATGCATGCCCTTTATTTTAAAAGGAAAAAAACTCTCAAAAACAATGTGTTTTTAAAAAAGAAATTTAAGGAGAAAAGCAATGAATAAACCAATGTTCACTTAGTAAAAACTCAAATATGGGTATCCATATCATGTTTAGAGGGGGGAAAAATTACTATGATTGCTAAAACCATGAATATAATTTGCATACATAATTTTATATATGCTAGTCAAAACATAAATAGCAAGTGAAGGAATCATCATCGTCATATGCATTGACCCTTATTATCTCCTCGGACAAAGCATGAACATTTTCTTTCCCTACAATTCTAAAACAATCACGGCCAAATTATCAGTTTTCAAACAGAATACATTTTTTTAAAAGGCCATTTGAAGGATATGTATGCACCTCATAAAATACTTTTCCTCGTATCAAACCCAGTCCAAATATTCATTTTTTTCTCCTCCTATTATTAAAGGGAAAATCATACAAAATCCTTTTAAAAAACTGAGTAAGTCAGTTGCTACAACATTTTATAACTTGTTTCCTTGAGAAGCTGGTTAAAGTATAGCTTACTCAAAACTTTTTTTTTTATTCAGCATTTATATTAAAACTATATAAGTACTGCCCATGGCACACTCATATAAGTACAATGATTGCTTCTGTTTTCTATTTTTTAGAGTTTATAATTGCCTTATTTTTTTACTTGATAATTTTCTATGAACCATCCCTAGTTCTCCCAATCCCAAATTTCTCACTATACTATATAAAAATCCTTTTCAATAAGAGTAAATACAGGGTGGGGCAAGAAAGGTTTATAGCTGTGAGTACACAAAAGTTTATTCTTGTTTTATTTATTAATTATTGTAATATTTTCCATATGAACAACTGTAAACCTACTTTTGCCCCTCCCTGTACAGCAGGTAATCCATTAACTCAACAGTTGACCCTTAAAAAACACAGATTTGAGCTACACAGATCCACTTCTATGTGGAGTCTTTTCATAAATACCAGTAGAGTGTTTTTCATGCACAGCTGAGAGTCCACAGATGCAGAGGGCCAACTGTATGCATTGATCTATGCTAATATTATAGGGGACTTGAGCATCCACAGATTTTGGTATCCATGGGGGTTCCTGGAATCAATTCCCATTGAATACTGAGGGAAAACTAAGTTTTGGGGGAGTCAAAAGTTATATGAAGATTTTGACTGTTATGGAGGATTGGAGTCCCAACCTGTGCATTGTTCAAGAGTCAATTGTATACCTATTAAACCAAATTTCTGGTTTAAATAATAAATGTGTTACCTCTTTTATTTTTAGCATACTTTACAATGTCTTAAACCAGCTTCTTAGTCATATTACGTACTTGTCAATAAACACAAAGGTTGTGGAAGAATTTTATGAACTATGATTAAACCTATAACATGCTATGGACTGTAGTAAAAGATCAACAGACAATGAGATTTTAAAGTGATGTTGGCAGTTCCGATGAAATGTGCTTAAATCATGAATTCTTAAAGCTGGAATGGTGGAAGTATAAATGAGAAGGCATAATAATTCATGCATCATCTTTTTTGAATTAGGAATTTGTTATTTTTGTGTCCAGAAACTGTACCACTAGATCTTTACTAGATTTTGAGCTTCTCTTAGTGCAGGAGTCACTGTTCCCTTTAATTCACATAGACACTGAATTCAAAAGGAGTAAAATGGTATCCCCAAAAGTTACCCACATTCCATCTTCTAACAACATCCTACTGGTAAGACAATACAACTAGACTGGGAATTTATAAATAACCTATTCTTTTAGCAGCAGAATATTCGTAGATGGGGAAAACGATATTCTAACAGATAAAAAGTATAATGTGAAAGCACAAGCCACTCTGGACTAGTTACTTTTCTAATTTTATAATCATGGACCTGGATGAATTGCCTTAATCTTGTGTGGGGCTTCAATTTCCTAAGTGACAAGAACTAGACTAGAAGGTTTCTAAGATACATAAACATCTAGTGAACAGTGGTTGCCTGAGGAGAGGCAATCACAGAGTGTGGTAAGGGTAGAAAGGAAAACTTCCTTTTCACTGTATGCTTCTTGATTTGGTATACGTGCAAATATTGTCTAATAAATAAGGAAAACAGTAAAATAAAAATAATGTCCCTTTAATCTCTAAAAATCTATTACAAAGAGACTTAAAATTTTTAAACAGATTCGTTAATTTCTGTATTTTATTCATACCTTACTAAAGTTTGGAGGAGGGTTTTTGCCTCTACATAAATTTGAGAGGGCCCATACAGCATTTCTGGTTGTTGTAAGTCTGTTTGAATTTGCTAATAACCTGCCAAGAAAAAAGTAAAAAAGGAATTGTTACTTTACTTTCATTTTTCCTCTTCAGCTATTTTCTATCATAACATAAAAATTCTTAATATATTTTATAAGGTCATCAAAATGAACCAGTAAAATAGGAAAAGGGAGTTTTTTAAATTCATTATATTTCCAGAAACAAAAATAAATATAGTACAGCTTTATTTAAAAAATTTTAAATCTACGATCTAAGTGGATTCTTACAAAACATAAAATATGTTCAAAACATAAAACATGTCATGGGAAATTAACTTACTGATCCCTATACACTTTTAAAAGAGTATTATATTACTTTTTTTAACCATGAAAATAATACATTATACAAATTCAATAAGCAAGGATGTAGGGTCAAATTGAATGAAGATCAGCTGTTGAGAAGAGATGATGGCTGTTGTTGTTTTTTTAACAAATTGTCCACCTTAGTAATTTTTATCTCCAGCTGCTAAAAGTATAGAGAACCTAGGCTTTAAAAAAAAAAGTTCCTATTCTGCAGTGACGTCAGCAAAAATGATGGAGAAGGGAACTCTGAAATCCATACCTCCTTAGATATACGCAAAAACTTACAAATCCTGTCAGAATCAACTTTATTCAAACTCTCAAAGATAGTCAAAAGTTTACATTAACCAAGAAAACTTTTAACCAGGAAAGTGTTGGAATATAGCAGGAGAGCTTTCTAGCAGTGTAACTTACCCATGGCCCAATCCCCTCCCCAGTCTGGTAGCAGCCTTGGACACAAACACTGGAGCTCCCACTGTGAGTTCCTGGTTCCAAAAGGAGCTAAGGAGACTTTAATTTCAAGGAATTGTGTTTGCCTGTTTTGAACTGTCTAGGTGTTCCCTGAATAACTCATGCACGATGCTTGCCTTTGGTTTAACTAACTGGGTACTCTCTCATTAAGATTAACAGCTGATTTCTCATCAAAAACCATAAAGGTCAGAGGCAATGCAATTATACATTTAAAGTGCTAAAAGAAAAAACTGTCAACCAAAAATTGCTATATCCAGCAAAACTATCTTTAAAAAAATGAGAATGTAAAAGACTCCCAGAACAATTAAGAGCTAAAAAAATTCATAACCAGTAGATCTGCTTTGCAAGAGTAAAAGGAGTCATTTAGGTTGAAATGAAAAATAAGCAATAACTCAAAACCATAAGTAGAAATACAAAATACTACTAAAAATAACTACATAAGTAAATACAAAAGGAGGTATTACTGTATTTTTGGTTTGTAATTCTTCTCTATTTCTATATGAATTAAAGGCAAATACATAAAGCAATAATTATAAATCTATGTTAATGGGAACACAATGTATAATGATGTAATTTGTGACAATAACAACTTAAAGGGGGTAGGACAGAGATGTACAACAGTTTTGTATAATATTGAGACTAAAATGGTATTAATTCAAACAAGGTTGTTATAAATTTAAAATGTTAATTATACTTCCTAGATTAAACATTAAGAGCCAAAGCCCTGGCTGGTGTGGCTCAGTTGGTAAGAGCAGCATTGTCCCATGTACCGAAGGGTGGCAGGTTCGATTCTCGGTCAGTGCACGTACCCAGGTTGCGGATTCCATCCCAGGCCGGGGCATGTGCATGAGGCAACTGATTGATGTTTCTCTCTCTCCCTTCCTCTCTCTAGAATAAGTGAAAAACATATCCTCGGGTAAGGATTAAAAAAAGAAGAAAATAACCAAAAATATACAGAAAAGGGAAAGAGAAGGTAATCAACACAGTACATTAAAAATAAATCAATTAAGCCAAAAGAAGATAATAAGGAATTGAGAAGATATAAGACATATAGAAAACAACAAAAACGGCATAAATCCTTCCTAATCAGTATTTACACTGAATGTAAATGGATTAAACTCTAGAATATTAATGCCAGAATGCATTTAAAAAAAAACAAAAATAAACATGTGACAATCCATAAGCCATCTAGAATACACTCTACATGACATTCTAGATTCAAAGACACAATAGTTTGAAAGTTAAAGGATATCCCATGCAAATAATAACCCAAAACCAGTGTAGCTATACTAATAATATCAGACAAACTTTAAGTCAAAAACTGTTTTAAGAAACAAAGAACATTATATATTGACAAAAAGTCAATCCAGTCCAGCCAGCGTGGCTCAGCAGTTGAGCATTGACCTGTTATCCAGGAGATCAGGGTTGGATTCCTGGTCGGGGCACATGCCCAGGTTGCGGGCTCAATTGCCCAAGCAGGGCGTGCAGGAAGCAGCCAATTCAATGACTCTCTCTCATCTTTGATGTTTATCTCTCTCTCCTCTTCTCTCTCTGAAATCAATAAAAATGTTGAAAAATTTTTTAAAAAGTCAATCCATCATGAAAATATAACACAAAAACTTATAAAATCTTACAACAAAGCAAAATAAACAAAGCAAAAATGGATAGAATTGAAGGGAGAAATAGACAGTTGTACAATTGTAATTAGAGACTTCAATATACTGTTTTCAATAATGGAAAGAACACCTAGATAGAAGATCAGCAAGAAAATAAAGGACTTCAATAACACTAAAAAACAACTATATATAACAGACATCTACACAACTCTTCACTCAGTAACAGCAGAATATACTATATTCTTCTCAAGTGCACGTAAAACATTCTCCAAGATACACCATATGTAAGAAAAGAAAGCAAATCTGAAATGTTTTAAAAGACTGAAATCATACAAAGTAAATTCATTGACCACAAAGAATGGAACTAAAAATCACAAATAGAAGGAAAACTGGAAAATTCACAAATATGTGGAAATAAAGTAATACACTCTTAAACAAACAATGGGACAAAAAGATCACAAGATCATACAATACTTTGAAATAAATTAAAATGAAAGCACAATATACGGGATGCAATGAAAGTAATTCTCAAAGGGAAATTTATAGCTGTAAACATCTACATTAAAAAAGAAGACCTAAAATCAATAACCTAAACCTTCATCTTAAGAAACTAGAAAAATTAGAGTAAAATGAAGTATGCCTATCTATTAAAAGATTTCTCATGTTCATGGATGGAAGACTTAATATTATCAAGACAGCAATACTCCCCAAAGTTATCTACAGTTTCAATGCAATCCTTAATGAAAATGCCAATTGCCGAAATGGAAAAGTCAACCCTCAAATTCATATGGAATTGCAAGGAGTCTTAAATAGCTAAAACAATCTTGATAAAGAAAAAAAATCTGAAGTACTCAAACCTACTTTTTTCTATGAACATTTCAAAATCAAATATAAAAGCATGAAATTCTAAATACACCATCTCTTTATGTATGAAAGATTTCCTGCGTTAGTAACATTTAAAATTTTGTTGTATTAAAAACTACTACATACCCTGTTTTTGTAGAATAATTATTTTAACCGAGTGTCAAGTAAGCAATGACCACTATGAAGTATGGCTTAAGAGAACATAAATGACAAATATGATGAACTGAAAAAATTTTTCTAATATTTTCAAGCTATTGCAGGTACAGCTAAACATAAGCCTAATTTAAAAGCATCACTTAAGAACTTAATTATGGACATAAAAATATAGTGTCGAATATAGTTTTCCAAAAGTAGTACTACTTTAATTGTGATAAATTTAAAGTGCTTACTCTAAAAGAGGTGGAAGTATTTCACAATTCAACACAAAATCTCTGCATTCTGCATTGTCACCAGCAATATTACCAAGTGCCCAAACAGCCTTAAAAAAAGAAGAAAAAAATATTCTGTTACAACAATATCTTAAATTAGATACTTCCTCTTAAGATAAGATTTTAGTACAGAATGAACAAAGTCGTCAAGATGTTAAAAACAGTGCTAGCAGGACAGTAAGAAAGAAAAACTTTAAAAGTGTTATTTAATAATATTTTTCATCAAATTGAAGGATAGTACATTTTTTGAAATTTCCTTACATGCTAATGAAATGTTTACTCTGTTCAATAAAGAAATACCAAATCTTCAAGAAGAGACAAAATGGATCTATTTAGTGAATTTTCCAGTTACAAATACTAGAGGTTTGCTCCTATTACAAGGAATCTACTACTCACTGGGACGAAGCTGATTTGTAAAAGAAGTGAAAGACGAAGCATAAAAAAGTTAGGTAAGGCCAATATGAGAATTGGCTTGGACTGATCCTTAAAAATAAGTTTAGAATTAGTCTAGGTTCATTATATTTTTTAAATAAATATTAAAAGATCAAATTATTAACTTATTAAATTTCAATTACATAAGAAATGATGCAAGTGTGAGTTATTTTATTATAGTCTCATTTTGAATTCTTTATAGAAGTACAAAAGTAGACATGTTACTTTAACAACTGGGAAAATTTTATTTTAACATTTAAAGCATGAGTTAATATTTTTAACATCTACTCTAGACCTAAGTTTTTTGTTTGTTTTTTAAGAAAATTCTTTAAAAATAATGACATTTTCCCTCCTGTGAAGTATAATATTCTGTTGGTGAGGATATCAATTGGTATAACTTTTTTGGAGGTCAACTTTGAAATATATACTAAAAACTTAAAAAAATTTTTTTTGACAGTAAAGACATTTTTCCCTAATGAACTAATCAAAAGACACAAAAACTAATATATAATGATGTTACCACAATATTATTAATAACACTAATAAACTAGAAATAACTCCGATGTACAATCGAGGAATAGATAAGTTATGATGATACATACTTGAATGGATAATGAGTAATTAGTAAAATTTTCTTTGAATATAATTAATACCATAAGAAAAGGCTCCCAATATTAGTGTTAAGTGGGAAAATTATATCTATCTGAGATCAATTTGCTTAGAAAAATTCAAAACAAAATACCAAGACATATGATTTTCTTGTCTTGATTCAGCCATTCACTGTGACTCTGGGTAAATTACTAACTTTCTGGGTCTCAGTATGCTCTTTTATAAATGGGTATAGTTACTTCCTTATAGTGGAGATCACACTTTTATATAACCCAGGATGATGCCTGAGACAGTTAATTCTTCCTTTCTTTTAATTTGACACAATAGAAATTACTGTATTTTAACAAATGCAATACATAGGCAATTTGGTAAAAATAAATTTCAAATCAAAATCACAAATGGTACTTCCATGAGAAAATTAAAATTTAGTAAATATAACAGTTCAAACAGAAACTTACCTGTTCTTGAACATCTTCATGCTCTGAATTTAGAAGTTTGATAAAAATTGGAACAGCCCCAGTTTCAATCACTACCTTGGTATGCAGAAAAGTTCCAGATGCTATATTAGTTAATGCCCATGCAGCCTCAAACTAAGGAAAAATAAAAGTAGAATAAATGAAAGCACCAGAGAAATGTCAGAAAAAGGAAGAATGGAAAAGGAGAGGAAGTCAAGACTTAAAGGGACAAATCTGAGATAGACAGCCTTATATTTAATAAGATTCAATGTGAAATCAGATTTCATAGATAAAAACCCTTAATTTTAAAAAAGAACTCTTCAATCTGGAAAAATAACTGAGAAGAATATAATAAAAATTTACAAACTCATGAACAATAAGTGTACACATTTGAATTTATAATTCACAAAACTCCTAATGTCTACTATTAGAGAGCCAGGTGTTCTACAGCAAGCAGTTTAAAATTAATGACACCCTACTTAATAGAAAAACAGTATATTTATGAAACTTAGAATCATAAAAGGTAGTCAGCTGTGTTTCCCTAAGGATCATCTTGTCCCAACCTTCTCATTTAAGAAATAAGAAAATTAGAAGTCCAGAGATTTAGGTGATTTGTTCAAGATCAAAGAGTTCACTATTAGCAGGGCCACAAGCAAGACCTGTGGTATTATTTTAAGCGGCAGAGCTTCTGAGAAGTTAGTCATATCGATTCAATTAGAATTTGTATATACTTACATGTGATAGATATATAACAGAAGCAACTAAGAAAATTCAATCCTTGTCTCTAAAACAATAAACTAAATGACCTGCAAATCCATAGGCAAACTAAGAAGTAAATATAGCTTTAAAAATATTTGGCATAGACAACTTTTCACATTAAGGTAGATATCATTATGGTTAATAAAACAAAAATGCATCTAAAAGCATTACTGAAAGGCATGAAAAGTACAATTACTATTTTGTATGAGGATAGAAAAAAATTTTTCAGGGAGAAATTTATATTTTTTAAAAATGGAGGCCATAGTCCTAACCAACTATAGATAATGAAATAAACTAAATGACAATTAAAAGATTGCTCCATTAAAATCTTCTAGATATAGCCAGGGGAATGCATCAGTAAAGAGTGGTGAATTCACAAGTTTATAGAAGAGATAATTAACATAAAAAAGAGTCATATGAGCAAGTAGGAAACTGTGACATACTGGAGAGCATGGCTATGATTTTTTTAAGAAGGAAGAAAAAAAATAATTTTCTAAAAAAATAAAGACCAAGCATCAGGTCCATTAGATCTTTACTATGTGGCAACAATGCCATCTCTGACTTGTCAAAAGAAGCCAGAACTCCAGATTTTCTTACTTTTTTATGTTTTTATTGATATCAGAGAGAGGAAGGGAAAGGATAGAGAGAAACATCAATGATGAGAGAGAAACATTGATTGGATGCCTCCTGCAGGTACCCTACTGGGGATCAAGCCTGCAACCTGGGCATGTGCCCTGAATGGCCTGGTTCATAGGTCAATGCTCAACCACTGAGCCATGCCAGCCGGGGCAAAACTTTAGATTTTCATTTGAATTTCCCTTTTTTTTTTTAAATCCTCACCTGAGAATGTGTTTATTGATCTTTTTTTAGAGAGCAAGAAAGGAGGAGAGAGGAAGGGAGGGATAGAAAGTGAGAAAGAGAAAGAGAAAGTGTGTTGCCTTCCGTAAGGGCCCCAACTGGGAAGCCAACCCACAACCTTTTTGGTGTACAGGACAATGCTCCAGCAACTGAACCACCCAGCTGGGGTGAAATTTCCCAATTTTTTTAAAGTCCAATATTTAATTCACATCTTTTCAAATGTGTAAGCCAAATAAAACTTATTTGTGAGCGAAATTAGCCTGTGGGCCCCCAGTTTGAAGCCTCTGTTAGGCTGTTCTGAACTGGCAGAACTTGGGTAATATGGCACAGCATATAGCTGTCCCAAGACCATACTTTTGAATTTCATTAGGTTTTAATTATAGTGATTAATAAATGCTCAAGTTCCCAATGTTCTTCTTGAATACTCTGTGCTCTCTGCACATGTCATTCTCACAACCTAAAATTAATTTTCCCTTTTTCAGCCTGCCAAACTCTCATTTATCCTTAAGACGAGCCACATAACACTACCTTGTGAAGTCTTCCTTGACTTCCCCTAAACAATTAAGTTATTAAAGGTCAACAACTACAAAAATTTTTATTAACATTAGGAATGATTTTATAAACTTTCCCCAAAATTAATAACAGTCCCTAGAAGAGACTAGCATTGCAACCATGACCATGACAAGACAAGTGACACTACCTTTTCCTTTCATTGTCAAATATTCATTGAAGCTTATATTCAGTATTGCAGAAGCTGCTTTCACTAGAAACTTTAATCATGTCATTTCTGAAAAGCTATTAAGAAAGAAAACTATAGAACTCACTTGTAAAGTACAATTTTCATTTCTTTCAAGAAATTTCACAAATCTCTGTACAACTCCTGGTTTCTGTATAACTTGATCAATTGGTGGATTAGGTTCTAAAAATAAAATTAAACAATTAAGTTATAACATAGACCAAAAAAGACAATGATCTATCTGGTGTCTGTGTCAATTAACAGGCACACAAAATAACTCTTAGTTCTCACTGACGAAGTTTAAAACTCTTAGCTGGATATAACTGAAGAAAGCAAATGTTCTCATAATTGCAATGTTTATTACAGCAAATTCTTTTTCAGTGACTATAATGAGAAGAAAATGTAGGAAAAGGGGAGCTGGGAGGTAGATGGAGATGGGCAAAGGGTGGGGAAATAGGGACGGAAAGAGACTATGCTTTGGGCAGTGGGCACACAAGGGTGTGCTGATGATGTTTTATTGAGTTGTACACTTGAAACATATGGTTTTGTGAACCAATATTCCCCCAATAAATTCAATTAACAGAAGACACAAAAAAGACAAATAAATTAATTAAATTTATGTTTACAAATATTTAAATTTCATAAGTCGGAGGCTATTTAGGAAGTCACCTTCACAATATGGGAGCTATTTCAATCCAATACTCAAAATACCAACTGAGGAATAATGTTCCCACTAACTCTTTATAACCATACACAAATTTCTAGGGATGTCTCCTTTATATTAGCCATAAATTGCTTAATGTCTCTCATTTTGTCAAGGTATTATTACTTATATAAATGCAACTGGACTATCTAGAATTCTTGATAAACTTTCACAAACTGCAGAGGGCTTTTGAGAATCATAAAATCTTTAAGGAATTTTAAGACAAAGACATTCAATATTAAAATAAACATATTTCAGCTATTTCAATCTAAATACCAGGAAATCTTTCTTTTCCCTCGGCTTCAGCAAAAAGCATACTCCTGGGGTTCTCCAGGAACTTCTCTGTTGATGGGCCTTGGGTTTATTTTTCTCTGTTATTTGTTATATATTTTCTTCCTGGAAAATATACCTATTTTGCTAATTCTCCTGTCACTTATGATTATCATTTGTGATAATTCACAAGTCTAACCCCCATAACTGAATTCTTCTCCCTTGGAGTCTAGACCACATTTTTAAGTGTCTATTGGCCACATTTTTTATTCATAACTTTTTAAAAATGTAGCATAACCAAAACCAAACTCATAATACCACTGCTTATACCTTCCCCTTGCCCTGTACCCACAACCCAAATTTGTCTATTAGTAATCTTTCCACCTACTATTCACAGGAGAAAAATCTCATTTCCAATTTTGACTCTTACCTTTCTTCTTAATTCTTGTTTGACTGAATTACTGATCATAAATAACTCATATTTAAGTGTTAACATCTTATGTTTAATCAGTATAAAGCATAACCATAAAAGATCTGTATAGCTCCTGTCTTTTTGATATGGAAAAACCTTATTATTAAGTTTTAAATCAGTTTAAATCTTAGAAATCATGTTCTCAATTGTTAAGAAAGGTTTATTTAGGAATGGACTTCTTCCTTTTCTTCTTTTTTCTACAAATTTGCTGTCCTTTTAATTTGTTCAAAAATTAGGTTATTTCTGCAAAGTTAGTAAAGCCATACACATGGGTATTCTAAATGAAAAGTCTGAATTCTTCAAAATGTGAATTCTAGGCCCTAGCTTAAACTGTTGTTATAGCTATAAAACATCAACAGGATAAAACAATATATATTATTAATGCCTTTACCCTCATCTTTTAAAAAATTAAAACAAAATTATACATTGGTAGTTACCACCTTCACCTCACTAGTTTTTTCTCTTTTTTAAAAAAAAAAAAAAGAAGGAATTCTAAATCTACTTTCCCTTTTTTGAAAGGGACAAAAACTTTGTCTTGCTCTTTTTATTTGAAGGGAGAGAAAGGAGAGGTTGCAAGAGGGAAGAACACATAGTGTTTTCTGATTATAGGGTGAGAGAAGTGGGTATTGAGACTGTCAGTTATAATAAATATGCAGATAAATAAATATATAGATATAATATATATATAGATTTTATATAGATAGATGATAGAGATTTAAGAACACAAATATGTCTCTTCCTGGAAAATTACTTTATGGTTATTTTCATCTAAAAGAAAACAATGAAAATGCAGTTGGGTCATCAGCTAATCTAACAGATATCATGAACTATTATTAACTTGTACACTGGTATTATATTAATTGAAAGAATAATATCCTCTATTATCTCACAAAGGTGATCAACTATTATGGAGAAGACTTTCATTAATACAGCAATATAAACATAAGTATAATAGGGGTTATCTGCTTCAGCACTTAAAACTAAGAGTCCTCCACAACAAAAAAGGTTTGGAGAAATTTCTACATTGAAGATTTAAGAAAAGGACAACTTGTGAATTTACATCTACAAGAATGGCCATGACAGGGAAGTAAATAGGAAATTCTAGCAAAATATCACTATCATGACTTAAATCAGGAGTTCTAGCTCTAGCTCCTTTCTCATGTTTCCTACAGTGATGGATCAAGTAAAATTACAGTAAATCTAATATTTTTCTAGGCCTAAAAGATTTGGCAGGAACTCACAACAATTAGTAAAAGAAAGCATCTATAATTCCTGCTATATGCTCAACTTGGGCAAGCATAATCCCAATACAAAGAAATAGAAAAAAGTCATTGGCTCTATGAAAAAGATACTATAGTTTAAAAGAAACAGAATAGCATGAGGAATTAAACCAAATGAGGATAAACTCTTAAGACTAAGGAATTCAATGGGGAAGTTGTGGTATAAAAACACTGGTGGCATATTTTCTAACATTCTTAAATAGAATTAAATCTAAATGAATCCTGTTAATTCGTTATAATATAATGCATATATGAAAAAGAAACCCTGAAAGAGAATATGATCATGTAAAAAACCCTTTAAATATTAACCTGATTCAAAATATAATCCTAATATCAAAAACGAAAAGTATGGAGTATGCTGAGGAAAAGGAAGCCATTCTTGATTACGTAAGGATTTCCTAACATTTCTAAGCTATATTAGCTTGGCAGAAATGGAGAACAAAAGTTAAATGTATTTATAAACAAGAACTACAATAAGAAAGCAAAAGCAAAAACCTTGTAATCTATGCTGACAGGAACACAAGATTTATTTTACTCCTCATGTGTTACTAAATTCTGTCTCTCTTAGGGAAGATAAGGCAGCTAGCCAAGGGCATTTTCAAAAATCTTATCAATTCATATATACAACTCAGTATAACTGGAATCACTAATTCTATAAATTACATATATGAAACACAAGACAGACTAAGGGTTAAGTTTTAATTTAATAAGAAATTTTTATAAATTCAATAAAAAACTGGACAAATAACATAAGCAAATTACAAAGATCAATAATTAAAGGAAAACATTCAACTTAAGTACTCAAAAAATGCCACACAATGAACTAATATTACATAAGCATTTTTTTTCTTTTTTATAGATAATCGCATTGTTAAGAACATAGTGAAATGAATACTTGTACAAACTGAAGATGGGAGTATAAATTAATACACTGTTTATTCCCTTTGACCTACAATTTCACTTTATGAAGTGATACAAAGGAAGTTTTAGGTTGTACAAGGATTTATGTAGCTTTGTTTATGATAATCAAAAATTGTGGAAAAAAATTAAATGTCTAGTTGATTGCTTAAATTATTTTATATTCATACTTTGATGTTATGCTGCCATTTAAAAAATCATGTTTGTCTGCCCGGCCAGGCGTGGCTCAGCGGTTGAGCGTGGGCCTAGGATCCAGGCGATCAGGGTTTGATTCCCGGTTGGGGCACATGCCCGGGTTGCAGGCTCAATCCCCAGTCCGGGGCATGCAGGAGGCAGCTGATCAATGACTCTCTCGTCACTGATGTTTCTATCACTCCCTCTCCTTTCCCCTCTCTGAAATCAATAAAGATATATTAAAAAAAAATTTTTTTAATCATGTCTGAAAAAAATGTCTACAGGAATTTAAAAACACGCTCATATAACACTGTTTCTGGCAGTGGGAATAATGATTTCTATATTTGCTTCTTTAAATTTTTTTTTATATTTGTGGGGGGATGAAAGGGTAGGGGAAGGTGAAGAGGACATAGAGGGGATAAATGGTAATGGAAAAAATTAAATTAAAAAAATTATTCTATGGTCAACACGTTACTTTGTTAATATAATGTTTAAAAAATTGATATTATTTAAGAATATTTTTGAAGAATAATTAAGACCCTCCTAACACAGAAAATTACTTCAAAATAAAAAATACCTCATAAATAAAACACTACTAAAGAATGCTGTAATATCAAATAAACACTGAAAATAATTCTTGCCTTTAGAAAGCAGCTTTCTAAATTTTTGTGTTGCTGTTAGTTGTTGATCAGCATTATTAGAAAAAATCATCTGAACCATATCTGAGGTAATAACATCTTCCTAAAACACAGAAAACAAAATACAATTAATCACTTAAATACTTTCCATGGATAATATCTGCTGCTATTTCTGAAATATTGCTCAAGTTTAATTTGAAATATATTTTTTAAAAATCTACCTCTGGAATGGGTACAGTGGAACTGATATCCGGATCCTGAATAGGACTTTCTAGCATAGATTCATCACTTCTGGGCAAAGAGACATTTCTGCGTTTGAACAGCTGTAATAAAGAGAAATCACTCTAAACATTGAGTATTCCATAAAACAGTGAATCCCCATGGAATTATATTTTTCATATAAGTGAACAAAATGGGCTAATAATTTTATCATTTGAAATTCTGAATATTTTAGTATTTCCCAATCATTTTACCATGAGGACTTAGATTATCTATGAGAAGTTAGACTTTCTAGGCTAAGTTAGCTCTTGTCCTCTAGACTGCTTTGGGTCATTCTTAATCTCAGGTCTTTTACCAAAGGCCAGTCCCATGAATAGAATACACATTTATAATTTACAGCATTTGAGAAAGCACATATGCCCACACTAGATTGTGAGATACCTAAGAATTTTTCCAAGAAAATCTTAATTAAAAAGTAAATCTGTTACATAGGTGAGATAATGTGGTGTATTAGCAGAGTTGGTATATCAGATCAACAAGGAATAGAGAACCCCTCTCACGAGAGATAACCCTATGCTTATTAACTTGGGGATGGATAAAAATAGAGAAAAAAAGAGAGAGGAAAGAGACATGATGAGGTCACTATGGGAGATTTAAAGGTACATTTCATGGATCACCTTATCAAACAAGAACCCCACGAAATAACACAGGAAGTGTTTTATCTCTCTCTGTCAGATGGGGAAGTTGAGAACAGGAAGTTTAGTTTGTTCAACATCACATACAGAATAAAGGTCAAGCTGAAAGTAAAACCCATTTATTTAGGCTCCAAAATCTTCGCTTTTTACTCTAGTGCACTTATGCTGTGCCATCCCAAGTATTTTGGTAATTATTCTCTGCTCTCCTTTTCTTCTCCTACACCCCTCTCCTCCTCTTCCTGCCCCTTCTCCTACCTCACGCCATTCCCCATTCTCTTTCTTCCCCTCCCTTTCATTTCTCCTCTTCCCTCTCCTGCCCTCTTTTATATTCTTCTGCTTCAAATTCATAACCTGACTGATGTGGGTTAGCTGAGGAAAGACCTCCTTAGTCAAACTGTCCCCGCTTTAGTGGTTTGAATCAGCAGGACTATCGATTTCAAAGACATATATAAGGAGGGTTATATTTATAAATTATAAACCAGGATATCTAGAAATCTGGGCTGCAATGGAACTTCAGTCATTTCTGGTTCTTCCGCTGAGCAGTTATCTCCCTTAGTCCTAATATTTGAGCCTATGAGGGGCAGAGGACTGGCAGGCAAGGCAGTAAGGAACACCTGCCACGGGAAAAGAGCAAGAGAGAAGTAATACTGGTTTTTGTAAACTGACAGCTCTTGCAAACAGTCCCAATGTTGTTTTCTGTCTGCTCCTTCCCATTTCTGGAGAGTCAGAAAAGAACAAGACCAACTAGGAACACCTGTGTATGAAGCATAACAAAAATTACATGTACACATACGTGAAACAGATGACACAAGAATGACTTTATTGCTGGTGCTCTGCCATTGCAGTCTTGGAAGAATAGCTAGGAAGTGGAAGGCTGAACAGAAAAGTCATCCTAAGCACAGTATTTCCATTTCTTTTCTAAACATGAAATAATGAACTTTCCATTTCCTTTGCCTATTTCGTTAATGCCTCTTTAAAATAAAGCACTTGTTCAGATTTGCATTTGAAACTATTTTTGGAAATAACTGGGGCATGCAATCACTTGAGTAACATATGGAACATTTAGTCCCCATCTCTCAAGAGCTCTAGAATTGTCTCTTTTGGAATTTGCAACTCATCTACCCATCTGTGCATCTGGTCCCCCAAAACCAATGCAAAGCCAAAAAAGAATAAAAATCCTTGGGAGTCTTAAGGCTTTTGAATATTAAAACTACTGGATCTGGGATCAGGACAATTCTAGATTCTGGGTCCAAGATCTGCATTTATTACTCTGTGACCTTGGGGGTGAAAAACACACACACTTGATTTCTCTGCAATTTTCTTATCTGCAGTGTGAAGAGACTAAACTAGGACAAAATCCTATGATTTAATTATACTGTAGGAATGGTGTTTCCAAAGCCCTGAAATGCTGAAGGAAATGTGGAGGCCACTTGGGTAGATGGAAATCACTTTCTGGTTTATCTTTCATTGACTTTTACAATAACATTGTAATAGAACACATTTTTTATATTTAATGAATGACTACTATAAATTGCCATAATAATATTGCTTTACTGTTTTCATCCTGGTTCACTAACTGTCATTAAAGATACCACATGACTTATAAAAAATAAAAATAAAAAATAAAGGTGCATTTCCTAAATCAAAACTGAGGGTAAAAAACCTTATTTTTTATAGCTAAATAAATACCACTCTTCTTCAATCTGCACACAGTTCCCTTTCTAATCATTTATTCAACAGATTTCTCTCTCTTTTTTTTGAGTATCTATTATAATACAGTAGGTACTGTGCTAGATACTATAGATAAATGACAAATTATAATCATATTTCTAAAACAGGCCTTTTTCTCTGCTCTCTTCATTGCTAGTCCTTTTCACACATTAGTTTTAATTCATGTATGTGAGGCCCACATCCTCATTATTTATAAAAAATAAATTTACCTTGGAACGAAAAATGTTAAGATGCACTCTTAAAAGATTTTTCTATTCCTTGTGTCATATAGACAAAGTTCAAACAGAGAAGGCTAAGAGATCTGGATGATGAGACTATAGGAGGAATAGTATGATTAGCTTAGGAAAAAGACTGTAACTAACTTAGGGGCAAAAGCTATGAAAACCACTAAGGAAACAAATGAATGTAACTGGTTTTTAGGAGGCAAATTTTACAATGACAAATGGAAGTGATCTAAATAGGCTCAAGAGTAAAAATTTCTTTAGCACTGGTATAGAAATATAATTAACATAAAATATTTATCAATAAGGCAGAAAAGCTATGCCTGTCAGTGATTAAAACTAGCACAGGATTCTGATTCATGTATTTGCTAATATTATTTCTGAAGTCCAATAAATTATAGATTTATCTACATTCAATTTCCTAAAACACTTTTTCATTTAAAATTTTCTAAAAATTAGCAATATAATACAACTTCTAAAATCTGCATATAATGCTTTAGTGTTAAACAGAATTATTTTAAAACACCTACCTGTTCTTCCCTTTTTTGTTTTCGAAGCTGTATTCCTTCTTCTTCTCTTCGTCTACGCATCTCTTGGGGATTTAGGGCTTTATTCTTATAACTCTTCATTCTATAGTTATCTTTCCCTGGACTAGCCATGGCATCTTAAGGTTAGGAGAGAAAAAAATGGATACCGATAATTCTCAAACAACAAGAGATGTGTACCTTAGGGCAACTAAATTCAGGCTCAGAGATTAAATAAATCAACAAAACCCATTCTGAAAATTATGTACAAAGAACACATTCCCACACTTCCATGACAAATTGGAGCAAAATGATGTAATATTTTAGGACTAAACTATCAAACAAATAATAGATTCTGGTCTAAACACAAAGTCATTACCCTAAGTTCACTGATTCTAAGGCGCATGCCCCCATCCCTGGTATTTCAAACTTTCTGAAGTGGGATGCCATCTTAAAACCACTGTCAGCCAGGAAATAATCATGAAATAGTTGGGTACAAAACTTCCAAATTACAGCTTCTGGCAAGATCAAGAAATAGGCAGCAATGAAATGTCTTCTTTTCAATGGAATATGGCATTAGGTTTCAATAAGCACATCTCAGATATTTATTGGGGTCTGGCTTCTTTCACATACTTTAGGCACTGTTTAAGAACTAAGGCCACTCAGGTCATGACTTGAGTCATGACTGCAATACCAGATTTCATTACTACAGTATAATTAGCTCTGTATACTTTACTTTGAAATAGTTTTATTACAAATGTATTTTAAAACATTAACATTTATATAAACATTTTATAAGCATATTTATTTCATATAAATATGAAATTTTATATTTGAAATATACATAATAGCTTTACTTTTAGGAAAAGAATTATAAACACTTTTAAATAATAGTATTATACTGATGTTTTGATATCTGAAATGAATGCTAAATTACTGATATTATAACCTATCCTGGATTTACACATAAAAAATGAGTATAATGTAGGATTTTCAACTTGAATTTAACATGAGAGATAATTAATGGCTGCTCCTAAAGTTATTCTGATAAATTCTGAGTGTATATCCATGTCCAACCTGAGAGAATGTTGTGTTCAATTAGCAGTTATGAAGTAAACACAGAGAAAAAGAGGTTGACACTTACCTGCCATCTCTTATGTAGAAGAAATAACTGGCAAATTATACCGCAGGCAGTAAAGTACGCTAAAACATATGCATTAAATCCTGTGAGAACACAGAAAACACAGCAACAAACTGTGTATTACGGAGCTCCTATTTTAAAGGATGAGCAAGAATTTCCCAGGGAAGGGGATGAAAAGGGAAAAGAGAGGGAACAAGCATTTCAAGCAAAGGGAATATCCGTAAAGGCAGAGTCTTGAAGAAGCCCGGCATAACACAAAACGGTAAGAAATTAAGTGTGCCTGACAACACATGGAAGAAGGGTCAGGAGAAAAAGCTAGAAAGGTAGGTAAGAACACATATGGTTCCTGCAATCTGGTAGAGAAATTTGGACTCAAACCTAAGGAAATTAAAAGCTGTTTCAAACCTTAATGATGAAGACCTGAAGTAAATTAGTAGTTGCACTGGAAATATGGAAGATAGGTTGATTCCAGAAACATTTTGGAAACAAGTGAATGTAAATACATAATTCAACAACTCATGTTGAAGCTCAGTTTGTTGAAGATCAGTAATGAACTCTGATCTCTATTTTTCTCCTCCAAGAGATTAAGCTCTTATTAATGACACAGAATTTTTATATGTGAGATAAAGAACAATGCTAACATTGTTATTAATAAAGCTTGATCCAGTTGTTTCTAATGACAAATATTTGTTGGTGCACACAGTATTTCTGAAATCAATTCATTAAATATTTTAGAGAGGGATTTGGTTGGATTATAAATACACTTTAATTGCTATAATACACAAGTTCAAAGACAGAAAATACTTTTTAAATCATTCCAAAGTCCTCAGCCCATTCTGTTCTACCTTTAGCTCCACCACTCATGAAATTTCTCTCACTATCTTTATCAGCGACCTAATTATCAAATCTGATGTTTCATATGGTACTTAACTTACTGTAGACACTATTACAGGAGGGGCAAAAATGGGTTTACAGTTGTTTGTATGGAAAATAATACAATAATAAATACAATAAACTCGTATCAGGTAATCACAACTGTAAACCTACTTTTGCCCCAACCTGTATGCTCAATAAATATAAAATATTTTAACAAAATGAAATGTTCACAGCAATAACCCTCTTAAAAATAATTATCACCTATACATTAGGCATTATCTAGGTAGGTCCTTGACCTCTAAACTTTTTGATCACATATCCTTATGTATACAAAATATATTTGTGCATTCATCCTCAGTATGTCTATTTATATACATATATTACTAGCCTAATACTACCCCATTATAAAATTCTCAAGTAGAAAAAGTTTTAAAGTAATAGTTTTAAAGGTAAACTAACAGAAGTTCTAATATTTTCTCCTCACGTCTGATTTAATCATTTGTGACTCCCCAACACATACACTAGACTATTAATCTAAGCGATCACATTAAAACCTTTTTATAAATATGTTAACCAAATAAAATCTAGCCCCAACCAACAACTGATACATCACTTGTTCCTTTTTCTTCTACAACACTAACTTCTTGCCTGCATCTTCACTGCAATTGTTTTAAAGAGGACATAAAGTCTAAGGGAAATTATCTCTACAAGTTCCTCACTCGATAGGATTGTTTCATTCTCTGGAAAATAACTTTGAAGACTATACTTTAGGCTGTTGTCTCCTGCAAGTTATTTCAAATAGAAGGAATGCTATTCAAACACTTTAAGTTGCAGAACAGAGGAATTTCTTCAGTCATAAGCTTATTTTTGACTCAGCTCTTTGAAAACCTGTGTTGAGGTTGGGCAAACAACTGGAATCTAAAATTTTTCTAACATCTATTAACAGAATTTCTTGTACCCATAAGCCTCCATCTCTATGGGTTTGGGTGCCTACTAGTAAAATTACACGATTGGTACAAAGGAGGAAGTGGGCCGGCTACAGCCCCTGCCATCGAGCAAGCAGTACTTAAAAGATCTAAAAGACAGAACTGTGTTTTGTTTACCCAAAAAGTCAGTCACTTTCCTACAGAACGTGAATTGAGTGTTGTGACGAAGGGACATCAAGTCAGTTCTTTCTAATGTGTTCAAAAAGTTTTCAAGCGTAAATGCCAACGTCATATTCCTTAGAAGTACCACTGCTCCATTTACAGCTTTCAGACCCTTTCACTTCTTAGCCATTACCGAGGACACGCTACTAAAATTTCGTGCTGGGAGTTGCGGGGCTAGCAGGGAGAAGCCTCTAACTCCGGCGTGTCGGGTGGGGACGGAGCCCTTCCAGGCACCTGCAGCCGGCGGGGGCGGGGGGTGCGACACGCACGGCCCAGGACCGAACCTGCCTAATTCTGGACATTACGGCAGTTTTAATAAGCTGCCGGACACAGACAAACGCTGAGGCCAGGAGTGAAGACCGGGAAGAAAAACTAACCAGAAACGGAGCAAAGCGGAGAGAATGGAATCGCCCAGCCTGGAGCTCCTTCCCAGGACGGGCCGGGCAGCCTACGAGGATCTGCACTCCCCGCGCCTCCGCGTCCGCACGCGGGTCCAGCTGCCACGCCCCCGCCACCACGGCCTCCCTCGGGGGACGCTGAGAGAAGCCCCGGCGTGGCCTGCTTCTGAACCCTTCGCCAGGAAACGGGTCAATAAAAACAGGGGTCCCAGGACCCAGTAGCTCCCAAAGGGACCAAACCCGAGGCTCATCCAGCCTGGCCTGTGTCAGTCCCACTTACCCATTAAGGTGGCACTAGCCGGTGCCCTGGCTTCCACTCCCCGGCTGCGGCGTCCGCTGCGGGTAACGGTGGGCTTGCCGCTCCGCCCCTAGCGTTGAACGTCGCGACCGGGTTCGCAGCTCAAGATGGCGGCCACCTGCGCCCCTTCCCCGAGACCCCGAAGCCCGGCTTTCCCAGAAGCCCTTGCACGCGGC